TCCCAGAAAGGGTAAGTAACTTGCTGAAGGTCACAGAGTTAGTAAGTGGCAGAAAGAGGAAGTTTTCTACATCTTAGATCTGACCACCCACAGACAGAATTTCTGCCAGTGCCATCCAGGAGGAGCTGCCATCCATCTCCAACCTGACCACCGCGGTGTTATCAAGGACTTGTAGGGACGGGCACTAGAGCCGGACTGCCGTTTGAAATGACCCCATTTCTCACAAGACGTTTCACCTTTCCGTGCTTCAGTTTCCCCATACTGGAAACCAGGATGGTCAGGGTACCTGCCTCAACGGCACATGTGGGAAGCAGATGAGTTAGCAGAAGGAAAGCGCTTAGCCCAGGGGGCTCATTGGGTGCAATTTATGGGGCCCGTGATGATTATGACAACCACAGTGGCAATGGTGGTCACCCCTCACCTGGGTGTTGGCGGCTTTCCCTCCTCCCCTTCCCACCCTTCCCCCCTCCCCTCCCCTTTCCCCTCCCCTCCCCCGCACCTGCCCTTCACTTGTCCCCTCATTCCTGTGCCAGCTCTTCCTGCATTCCCATAGCTGCTGCCATCACCATTTGCCTGTGGACCTTTGTCCTCTGTTTTCAGCCCCTAGACTCTTGGCAGACCATGAACTAAAGCCCGATCAATCAGTGGAAATCATTCAGGGGAAAACAATTCATGTTGCATTCAGGGACTCTTCCCTCAAAGCGATTCTAGTCAGGCATTTTCCAAGCACCTGTGCATTCATCCCAGCATTAGCTGGGCTCTGAACCACACCATGAGTCAAAACCTATAACCCCTTCCTCCCTGAGTGAGATGCTCAGGTGGACTTTGGAGCTGAGGGTCTGAGCTGACCCCAGGCCTGCTAACTCCACTCAAGCCATGAGCCATCCCTGGATCCCTGACAGTTCCTTATCTCACGCGTACCTGAGCAAACGCTATGGCCATGATGGTGGATGCAGGGTGTCCAAGCAGGGTGAAAATCTCATGCCAGCGCCCAATTAAACATGTCTCCTTTACTCCCTCCCCCAACACACCCACAGAAATGAATTTCTCCTCATCAAAACAAACTCTCAAGTAGATGGATGCTCGAGGTGGAGTATGGAGCAGAGGCTGCTGGTTTCCTGGAATGACTGTTTTCAGTTGCACTGGATCAGTCACACCTTTTGATTCTTGGTGGGTAGATTCCACTGTGGCCAAGTCTTACTTACTGGGGAAAGTGAGAAGTCGCAGGGCGTTTATCAGCAGGAAGGGCTTTCCCAGGGTTGCCTGCTGCTGCCCCTGTTATCTTAGGGAGCAGCCTCTTCTCCTGTTCCTCATGCCGTCTTACAGGATCACACAACGTTTAAGGTGATAATTGCCAGAGCAAAACACCAGTAAGTTCAAAATATAACCCTGCAATTTAGCTTGCAGCTCCAAGGCCCTGTGGGAGTTTTCTTTATACCCCTGAGTTGTGGACGGATGAGTTGGGGGCTCCAGCACCTTTCTGGCAGCTGGTCCTGGACCGGAGTTGAGGATAAAGTTCTGAAGATGCTCCAGCCTTTGCTCTAAAGTCAAGTTCAGGCCCTCGAATGTAAGCATAGGCCCCAGCTCTCATGGAGATGCCACCACCTGCCTCAGCTCATGCCTCCCTTCTCCAAGTGGGGAAGCTCCTGCTGGTAGATCCCCTTGCAGGACCTGGAAGCCCCCACTCTTCCTTGTGAGTAGGGAACTCTTGAACTTGGGAATTGAGATTATTCTACCCACACTGAAATTTTACTTACCTAGAGGCTCCCAAATGGGGCTTAGTTCTCTCACCAGGAAAGTCATCCAAACATGTTCTAACGACAAATGCAGCAAGGTGACTTGTCCCCAAGGGAAGGATGTTGTAGGATAGGCAAGTTTGTGTTGCAGTAACCCATACCCTCTGAACTCTCAGTGATGTAGTGCATCAAAGGCTTCCTTCCTTCCTCCGTTTACCACATGAACTCACATTCCATGCTGGTGTGGGAAGGGGGCAGGGAGATGGAGCTCTGGCCCACACAACTACTCAGAGACCTAAGCTGCCAGCAGCTCCATCATCTTGTAGCCCCTTCCAGAACATGTGGCCTCCAGTCACCGTGGCAGAGAAGAGACACTGATGAGGTCACACACGGGCTCTGAAATGCTTTGGCTCAGCAATGACAGGCATCACTTTTGTTCACAGTCCGTCGGGCAGAGCTTCTCATATGGCCCAACTGACTCTAAAGGGGCTGAGGAAATGCCAAGGAAATGTGCTGACATTCAGTGAGCAATAAAATTCTCTGGTACAAAGGCTGTTATGGGACCATTCTCAGAGCCAGGTTTCAGAAGAGCCAAGGCTGTGACTCCAGTTTATTCTCTCCACCTGCGGCATATCGAGTGGTTGCTATGGGCTGTGTAATGTCCCGATCACATCTACGCTGTCCGGAAAGTGAGGAAGAGGATGGATTCTAGTGGGAAGCTAAGCAGGGAGCTTCCAGATCCAGAGTTTACAGGACAAGGGATCCCTCCATGGGTGCCGCGTTTATGGCTCAGCCAAGTTGGGGGTTCTGACTCCAAAACACCTGGGATCAAGAATTGGCTAAGCCCCTTATTAACCGTGTGACCTTGGGCTAGTTGCCTCCCTCTGCCTTGGTGTTTCCTTCTGTAAAATGGGGTGTTGGTAGCATCTCTGTCTCTTGGGGTGGTTGTGAGGACTAAGTGAGTTATGAGTAAAGTGCTCAGAATGGTGCTAGGCAAACGCTAAGGGCTCTACAAATGTGAGCTGTCACCACCTCCACAACCATCGTCACCACCACCATTGTCATCGTCATTATCCACTACCAGATGCTATTCTAGGGAATGAATACCAAGGTCTCTGCTTTCACACGTGATGGGAGAGATGGAAAATAAATAGGTAAATGATTAAAGTAAGATGATAATATCCAATAGCAATAGCACTAAAAAAATAAATCAGGCCCATGGAAAGATAGATGCTCATCATTATTAGTCATTAAGGAAATACAAGTTAAAACCACAATGCCAGCTGGGCGCGGTGGCTAACGCCTGTAATCCTAGCACTTTGGGAGGCTGAAGCAGTGGATCACCTGAGTCAGGAGTTCAAGACCAGCCTGGCCAACATGGTGAAACCCCGTCTCTACTAAAAATACAAAAATTAGCCGGGTGTGATGGTGGGTACCTGTAATTCCAGTTGCTCCAGAAGCCGAGGCAGGATAATCACTTAAACCCAGGAGGTGGAAGTTGCAATGAGTCATGATCATGCCATTGTCCTCCAGCCTGGGTGACAGAGTGAGACTCCTCTGTCTCAAAAACAACAACACACAGACACACACACCACAATGCAATACCACTACATATCATTACCTTGACTTTGAAAATGGATAATACCAAGTGTTGGCAAGGGTACAGAGCCACTGGAACTCTCCTAGGTTGCTAGTGGGAACGCAAAACGGTATAGCCAACTTGGAAAACAGTTTGGCAGTTTCTTATAAATTTAAATATATGCTGACCACACAACTCAGCAATTCTACTGTTAGGTGCTTACCCAAGAGAAAGAAAAACTTACATTCATACAAAAACCTATATGTGAATATTTATAGTGGCTTTATTCATAATCTCCAAAAACTGGAAATAACACAAATGCCCTTCAGCTGCTGAATGGATAAACAATGGAGTACTACACGGCAACAGAAAAGACATTCTGATTCAAGAGGCAACACAGATATTAATAAATCAGAAATGCATTATGCGAGGTGAACACAAGCAGACTCACAGGGCTTCACTGAGATGACACCATTTGAATGACACTCTGGAAAACGTAAAATGACAGGGATAGAAAACTGATTAGTGGTTGCCAGGAATGGGGGCTGGAGGGAGTTGACTGCAAAGACACAGCAGGCAAGGATTTGGGGGTAACAGGATTGTTCTTACCTTGGTGGTCATAGTGGTTCCACAGCCACACGCAGTTGTCAAAACCCGTAGACTGTGCACTAGAGAAGGTCACTTTTACTGTAGGGTGATTATACCTCAATAATCCTGATGGAAAAAGTTTGCAGTAGGACTGTTGAAACAAGGAAAAGCAAATGACAAGTCACTCAGTCAGGGCAGTGAGACACTGTGAGGACAGCTTCCTCCAGGCTGACCTATGGAGGACATTGGAGACAGTGAGAAGGAGGTGGTCACAGAGGGATTTCTGAGGAGGTGGCAGGTGGCTGTGTGGCTGGAAGGGGAGGGGAGGGTGGCCCACAGGTCAGGGCTGGGTTGGACAGTTCCCTGTGGGCCAGGTTAAGGGGCTTCACCCCTCTCTAGACATAGTGGGTGCCACTGTGGGCATAGACAGAGGGTGATTGAAGCACAGGTGTGGTCTGGGAGAAGGGAGGAGGCAGGGAGGGAAACCACTTGTGGCCATGTCTAGGATGAGTGATGGGGTGCAGTGAAGAGAGGAAGGGTGGATCGGGGGTTCATGGAGAGTTCCCAAAAGGGGTCAGCTGCCGGAGATCATAGGCTGAGGCGGGAGGGCTAGGGGTGCAGATGGGATCCTTGGGGACCTTGCTGAGGGTATTGAGGGGTACTGGGGCTGAAGACCTGTAAGCAAAGCTTTCAGGAGGCAGGGGACAGATTCGTTTATAACAATGAGAGTCCCAGAGAGAATGGGGTGGGGTTGTCCATCTGTGTATCTGGGCACTTGAACAAAACTTGCAGAGGTGGGGCTGACCTTTGGAGGACATGGAGAGGCAGTGAGAAGGTTAGGGGCTTAGCAGGGCCTTGAATGCCAGGCCAGGGTGTTCATGCTCGTGGGGATGTGATTCAAGGACTGGCCACACTCCAGGGTGCTGTTGAGTGGGTAGGGTGGTGCTAGGGAGCCTGTTCTGTGCTGAGAGGCAGCACTGAGCCCTGCAGGGCTGGGCAGTGGGATCCACCTTGGGGAGCTATGCTGAGTGGGTCTCACCTGGGGTAGCAGGAAGCCCCGTCTTTGCCCCACTGACCTTCCCGCTCTTCCTCCACAGTGCATGCTGGGACCGCGACGAACAGGCTGCCGTGCCCCAGGCCCCCAGAGGCCAGTCTGTTTGCCTCTTGACGCCATCTGACCCAGGTAGGGGAGAGCAAGGTGGGCTCACCGGCCTCTTGCTTCTGTGCTGGGTGGGACGCTCTGGGTCTGAGGACCAGGTCCCCTGACTCAGGCTGGCCTTTATTGAATGAGCCCCTGCCAGGGGCTATGGTGGGGTACACAGTGTGGCGTTTGAAGGCCCTGGCAGCAGTGGGCCTCCTGTGGAGGAGTTCCTGACCTTTGGGAAGGAAGGCCACCCACAGCCATTCTTCCTCACCTGGGTGCGTCCCATCCCGGGATGCTGAGAGGCACTCAGCACACCGTCCCTGACACCCCATCGCTGTCCCATGCTTGCTGTCTGCCTTTGCTCAGGCTCTGTGGCAGTGCCTTGGCTGCAGGAGGTTTTGCATCCCAGGTTCAGCTCCCTTTGCCTTCACCTGGCTTTTCACCCCACTGCCCAGTGCACTGCCTGATGGCACTTACTCAGGAAGTTCCCAGCTCTCTGTGGGACATCCTCCAGCACCCAGAATGAGCCTGTCTCAACTTTCAGTCCAGCTCTGTGGTGAGCCTGAGAGAGGGTATTTCTCTGACACTCCAGACATCCCAGGTGAAGGGCTTTCTGCTGGGTGCCAAGTCACCCAAGGGATGGGGTGGGGGAGCAGCTAGGGTTGCCAGAAAAAAATACTGATGTCCAGTTAAATTTGAACTTCAGACACACAACAAATAATTTTTCAGTGTAAAAATATTTCAAATACTACATGGCACATACAATTTTGTTTGCCAAATCTGGCAACCCAAGTTATGGGGGCTGAACCCCCAGTCTCCCTCCTTCTCTGGCCAGACCTTCCTGCTGGGCTCACCCTGGCCTCCTTAGATCAGCTGCCTCCAGTGCCTTTTGCAGGTGTCCTGGAGCCTGGAGCAGCCAGCCTGCCCAGGCCACAATCAAGGGGCATTCCCTGATTCCCCCACTGCTGCAGGCTGTCCCTAGAGCAGAGACCTGGCGGTTCTGGCTGGGGGCCAGGGCAGCGGTCCTGGTCTTTGGGAGTGCTGTATAGTTCCTCATCTTCCCCTCTGACTCTCCGACAGCAGAGTCCAGGCTGAGGAAGTCATGGGATGGGGCAGGGTGGGCCTTTGTGCCTTTGAACAGAGCTGTGAGACAGGCATAGAGCTGTGAAAGGAACCAGGAATAGAAAATTGCTTCGTGAGCTTGGAACCCAGAGCACTTTGGGGAGCCAGAGCGGGGATAGGGGCAACAGGGCTGAGGCAGTGATGGGTTGTGGATGGCTTGGATTGGCTTACTTCTGTACCCTTGAATATTGGGGAGCCACAGAAGGTATTTTCTCTCTAAGCAGAATCATTTTTCTGATTAAGGTAATCTGTTCTCTCTATGCTATCTATTTTCTATGTATCTATCATCTATGTACCTCTCCATCTGTCTCTAGGTATTTAAAGCATGCAGTTCAAGCCCCTTCTGTAGTCTTTTCCTCCCAAGAGCTAACACTGGTAACTAGTTTGATATATCCCCTTCCAGGCCTTTTTAGATGTACTTCTCAACGTATTTTAAAAAGGAAAACATGGGCTCATATTAGTAATACTGCTCCAGCACTTGATTTTTACCCAACAGTAAAAACCATTTGGACCATCCCAGCTCCTTCCATAGAGCTCTTCCCCATCCTTTTATATCCATTGTATGATGGTCTGCAAATTATTCATCAATTATTAATCCTGTTGGCGGCCATTTAGGTTGTTTCTGGCATTTGGCTATTTATAAACCTCACTCAGGGAACCTCTGGTTTGCACGTCTCTGTGTGCTTGTGCTGTAGTTCTTTCGGAGTGTTTCTGGAAGTGGACTTCCTGAGTCACAGGGTGCCCATATTTCCACATTTGATTTGTTCTGGAAATTCACATCAACCTGCAGAAGGTTGAGCCGATTTATGCTCCTACAAACTGTGTGCAAAATGCCCCATTCCCTCACCCTTGCTAATCATGGGAATTATTAATCACTTAATCCCTGCCAATTTGACAGATAAAAATGATTCTCCTTTGTGTTTTTTAAACTGTTAATGAGGTTGAGCATATTTGTGTATGCTCGTTGGCCATTTCTATTTCTTCACTTGTAAATTGCTTATTCATGTCAAGTCTTCTGCTCCTGTATCCATTCATTCAGGAAGTATTGACTAAGTACCTACTATGTGTCAGACACTGTTTTGGTTAGGGACCAAACAGTGAACAAAACTGACAAAATATACCTGCTCCAAGGAACGTAAGCTGTGACAGAGGAGACAAGGACAGGGAAAAATACAGCGCCTGTGTGGGAGTGTTAGGTGCTAGGGTGAAAAAATCAAGCAGAGGGGGGGATGGGAAGTGCTGGGTAACTTGGGCACGGTCATCAGGGAAGGTCTAACTGGGAGGTGGCATTTAGGTAAAGACCTGCAAGAATCGAGAGACTGAGTCCAGTGGATGTTTGGCAGAAAGCATGTTCCAGACAGCGGGAACAGCAGGTCTAAGGATGCCGAGTCAGGTGCAGACCTGCCTTGTGGGGGCATGGCAAGAAGGCTGGTGTGGCTGGAACAGGGTGAGTTGGGGGGGGGAGTGGGCCATGCCACTGGACATGGACCATGCCCCCATCACGTGGGCCTGTGGGCTACCTGGAGGACTCGTCTGTTACCCGGAATGAAGTGGGGAAGGCCACGTTAGTTCTGCATACTGACGTGGCGTGATTGGAATCATGTTTTCACCAGACCCCTCTGGCAGCCGCCATCCCTGCCACCCATTGCTGTCCCGTGTTCACTGTCTGCATTTGCTCAGGCTCTGTCTTGCACTGCACACCTGCCGAGTGCCTTGGCTGCAGGAAGTTTTGCATTCCAGGTTCAGCTCCCTTTGCCATCACCTGGCTTTTCACTGAAGCAGGGAGATCTGACAGGAGGGTGTTTGTTGCAGTGACCAAGGGAAGAGGTGGTGGAGGCCTGAACCAGGGAGTCTTGGTGGAGGTGGGGAGAAGTGGATGGATTCCACATGCATGCTCAAGGTAGAGCCAATAGGATTTGCTGACAGATTGGATGAGGTGCTGTGTGTGAGAGAGAGAGAATGGAGCCAACCATGACGCCAAGGGTTTTGGCCCAAGCATCTAGGAGGGTGGGGTTGCCACTGATGGCAATGGGAAGAGCGGGGAGAAGCGGGTTTGGTGTCGGGAAGGGGCGTGGCTTCATGGTGGAGAGCAGTACTGAACAACTGTGAGTCATTTGGAAAAAGTGGTTCCATAATGTGTGGGACCCAGAGCACAGTGAACAGGTGAATTTTTGTTAAAAAAAAAAAATTAAAGTTTCAAAGTGGGAGGTGACAGTAGAGCATTAAACCAAGCCTGGGGTCCTTCTGAGTGCAGAGCCCAGGTCACACACCCATGAGCCAGCCCTGGCAGGGGACACATAAATTGTGAGATGCCTGTAGACAGATTGGCAGAACCATGGAGGTGACAGGTGGATATATGTGGCTGGAGTCCAGGGGACAGGTCTGGGCTGGAGATACAAATTTGGGGCCATCAGCATAAAGATAGTATTTAAAGCCATGAGGTTGAAGGAGAGCCTCGAAGGAGAGTAGATAGAAAAGACCAATGGCCCAGCCCAAAGACTTCCACCAGTTAGAGGCTGGGGAGCCGAGGGGGAACTGAAAAGGTGACTGAGAAGGAGCAACCAGTGAGATGGAAAAGAACCAGGCTCATATGTCCTGGAAGCCAAAGGCAAGACATGTTTCAAGCAAGTGTCAAAGGGGCTGAGGATGCAAACTGAGAACTGGTCACTGCCTGGGCAACCGGGTTTCAGCGATTGGGGGCAGATAAATGCATCTCATTGATTTGCAAAAGCAAGTGGATTTAGAAGAGGTTAAGGAAGTTAACTCTTTATTTGGCATATGTTGCAAATCATTATTCACAAGTATTTTTTTTAAATTTAAGTGTATGGGATTTATTTAACCCCTTAAAAGTTTTAGATTGTCCTGTGGTCAAGTCTATCAATCCTTTCCTTTAGAGTTCCTGGCCTTACTCACTGCAGAGTTTTAAAAATACTGGCCTGTACTGTTTTCCGGTTGTTTATGATATTCACAAATACTTAAATCTCTAGTTCATCTGAAATGCATTTCTGTGTGTGGTTTGAGGTAGGGATCTAAGCGGTTTTTTTCCCATATGACTCGCAGTTCATTCAGCACTGTTTGTTGGGTGAGTGCCTTTCCCTGCTGCTCGGAAGCTCCATTCCTGTCATCTTCTGAAATGTCCCCGAAGTCTCATGTCTGTCCAGGTCTCGCTGTTTGATTCCATTGATCTTTGCCTGGGGAGAGATTTAGGAAGTGGAGAAAATAGACATGGTGATTGATTGGAGTTGGTGTGAGGAGGCGGGAGAAGTGGAAGCTGACACAGTTACCTTCAGTGCGGGAAGAGGCAGAGGGAAGTTGGGGACGAGGGGAGCTCTCGGGGCTCCTGTATGCTGGGCACACAGGGCCTTACCTGTCAGCCTGGTCAGTTTGCCCGGCAATTCTGCAAGGCCAGTGTTCTGTCTCACCATTTGTTGACAAGGAAACTAAGGTTCTGAGAGGTTTCATCTCATGTCCAGGGTCATCGCCTCACAGGTGTGGGGCTGACACTTGAAGGCAGAGCTCTGGGTTCCCACCCTTGCCTTCTGTCCTCAGGGAAGTCAGAGATGAGGAGGGGGTTCTGGAGGCTGGAAGGGCTCCAGGCACAGAATGCCCCCCAGCACCCCACTCTGCCTGCCATTTGGCTGGGTCTTGAAGGCTTTCCCATTCTAAAAGCAACCTGTTAAGACCAAAATACTCCTGGCAGGGAATCACACGTTAAGTTTACAGCTAACATCTTAATTATCAGTTAACACCTCTTCAGGGATTAACTGACAGCCAGCTGAGGACACTGAATGGGGGCCGGTGTGATATATATCTGGGCTGGGAAAGGCCAGGAGGGAGGGGAGGTGGGGAGAGGATTCACAGCTTCACCCAGGCCTGAGGAGGCACACTGAGTCCATGCGGTGACCTGGGAGGGTGGG